GTGGCGAGGCGTGTGGCATGGGGAGAGCGTGGCCGTGAAGATCTTCTCCTCCCGGGATGAGCAGTCGTGGTTCCGTGAGACAGAGATCTACAACACCGTCCTCCTCCGGCACGACAACATCCTGGGTGAGTGGGGGGCCGGGGGGGCCAGGGGGGAGCTGCATGGCAGCTCCATGGTCCTGGCTCTTCTCCCCGTCCAGGCTTCATCGCCTCCGACATGACATCAAGGAACTCCAGCACCCAGCTCTGGCTCATCACCCACTACCACGAGAACGGCTCACTCTACGACTACCTGCAGAGGACAGCCCTGGATGTGGAGACCTGTCTGGGGTTGGCCTCCTCCATCATTTGCGGCCTCGTCCACCTCCACGTGGAGATCTTCGGCACCCAAGGCAAGCCCGCCATTGCCCACCGCGACCTGAAGAGCAGGAACATCTTGGTGAAAAGCAACCGGCAGTGCTGCATCGCGGACCTGGGTGAGATGGGGGGCAGGATGCAGCACCCAGGGACATGGTACCCCAGGGATGTGGTACCCCAGGGATACGGTGCCCCATGGATGCAGCATCCTGGGGAGGCAGCACCGGCATGGTGCTGACCGGGGGCGGCATCCCTCCAGGGCTGGCCGTCATGCACTCCCAGGGCAGCGACTACCTGGACATCGGCAACAACCCCCGGGTGGGCACCAAGCGCTACATGGCCCCAGAGGTGCTCAGCGAGCAGATCCGCACCGACTGCTTCGAGTCCTACAAGAAGACGGACATCTGGGCGTACGGGCTGGTGCTCTGGGAGATTGCCCGGCGGACGGTGGTGAACGGTGAGCGGCTCCCAGCCGGCTGCCGCGCTCCCGGCTCGCAGCGAGGCTCCGCGTTCGCTCCCTCCTTCCCTCCTTTTTATGTTGGTTTTTTTTTTTCTTTCCCTTCGCCCAGAAGATTAGCTGTAAATTATAAACACTGTAATCTAGTGTCAGCACCCGGCTCCCTGATTAAAGGGCCCATTAGACTCAATCAGCTCTTTGTTTGTTCAGCACTGATTAGAAAACAAGCAGCGTCGAGCGCTGCCTGGAAGCTGGCCACGGCCAGGACCTCCGGCCGGCGGGGCTTGGCTCTCAGGGACGGGGACGGTGACAGGGACAGGGTCCCCCACGCTGCGGAGGAGCCTCCTCAGGGCTGCCCGGCCAGCGCCGCTCACTGCCGGCAAAGTCCATTAGAAGCATTAATTAAATGGTGGGCGCTGGCGGGTGAGGCAGGAGGTCCCCCCGAGGCGCAGTCTGGCCAGGATAATCTCATTTACTGCCCCGGGGCTCCTTCAGATTAAACATTTACTCCGAATTACCAAAGCCATGTGCAGGGGATGACCTTCAGCCAGTTGGTTTTAACCCTTCCAGGCACCTTCACCCTCCGGGATGGGCTGAGCGGCCCCTGCGCGGCCCCAGGGCGTCAGGGACAGGGGGTCCAGGGGACCCCGAAGTTCAGGGGCCGCCCCCGGGGTGCAGGGAGCTGGTGGGTGCTCAGGGCAGCCCAGGTGGGTTAAACCCTGTGGACACAGAGACATATGGAAGCACTAAGCGGAGATTAGCTGGGCCAGCTGGCAGGCTCGCCATGGGGCTGCCAGACGGAGGGGGGGGGCCGCGAGGGGGCATCGGTACCCGGAGCTGGTGCCGGTGCTAGAGCTGGTGCTGGAGCCGTTGTTCATGGTAGGGCTGGTGCTGGACTATTGCCAGTACTGGAGCTGGTGCTGGAGCCACCAGCGGTGCTAGAGTCGGGGCTGGAGGGGGGCCCGGCCCACCCGAG